CTAGCACCAAATCCTTTTACGTATGTATCCAGACATAACTACAGGAACCAGGATAATGAAAAGGAATGAGGGAAGTAAAGGAAAAGAAAGAACCTGAGAGAGAAGAACAGTAGGAAACAGGTGTTACTAAGGGAGATATGGATAAAAATGGGGATATTTAAATGGGAAGGGGGAGGGAGGGTTAAACAAGGAAACTTGGGGATAAAGGGAAAGAAGGAGCTCAAGAGAGGTGGGACCATAGGTGACGGGTATTATCAGGGGAGAAATAGGGAAAATGGGGACACTTTAAATGGGGAAACCATGGCATAAGGGTTAGACAGTGAGAGAGAGGAAAGATAGTGCCTAGCCAGTTTTAAAAAACCAGAGGGAATCATATTAGTCAACAACCTAACAACAAGTTACACATAACATTATCTCTACATGAGTCCATGTGTATAGCTAAAGGCTACATAACAAGAAACAATGCCTGACAGGAGAAACCTTCCTTTGAGTTGTTGGCCAGGGTGGTCCAAGAGACTCCCAAAATTACTCAGGCTATTGCCACAGCCCTTGATGGTCTCCCAGAACTCAAACATAAGGCCCTACTGCTGAAGACAGAACATACTTCAAACATAGGATTTGGAGCAATAGAGCTGCAACTGATCTGCAACCACTTCCCCTGAAGGCTAACTCTCAGAGCTTTGGACAGCGTTGTGAAGGTGCCAACAGAAAACATCAATTGATGGTCCAACAACGGCTTCAAGACCAAATAACCACATCAATGGCCAGCACAGCATATAACATTGGTACAATAGTGCCACTTTTATCTTGGGGGTAATCAACAGCTACCTAATTGGACTAAAAGCCCATTCAGTGGAAGGAAACTCAAGTGTGGTACTGTAAACATAACCAAATACACATGGCTAAAGTGGTCATAGATCTTAAAGAAACCCCAAGACTGTCACATCTCTAGACGAATGTGATTTCTTACTATGTGTAAAATATGTGTCCTTATATTTACAGACAAACATCCCAGTCACCACTCATCAAAGAAGCTCATTTTGCACCAGTCAGAGACTACTACCAAGTACCACAACTGGTCACACAAGGACATTGTCTATGAATTGCCCAGGTCTAAGAGACACATCTACAGTGCTACCTCTAGAGACACCTAAGGCTCATAGAACATAGAACAGGGGTAATGAAGACGACACTAATGAATCTCTCATTTCTCATTAATGAAGCTCCCTCATGCAGCAGAGGGCCAGGAACACAAAAGTTCACAAATGGCCAAAGTATAGAGATCAAGAGTCTGTCAAATGCTGGTCCTTGGACAAGATTCCTTTATTAAACTTCACCCACCCAAGGCTCAGGGACCATCTCAGAAAAGGGGGCAGAAAGATTATAAGAGCCAGGGAGGAGGTGCAGGACCAAATGGAAACAATGTCTAACAAGCTCCTAGGAACCAGCTCATATGATTCTATGACAATAGTGTCAGCATATACAAGTTCCATGCAAACTCAGGCAGACAAAATCCCAGCATAGAACTGGGAAAATAAACAGCAGACCCCAATCTTATCTGAAGAAATATTGGCAACTGATTGCTGCTAGATGAAGAAGAGCTGATCTTCCTAAAACCAGGGACTCTAGGAAGGCTGACTAGACCTCAGTGGATGGACTTGCACTGGGGAACATCTGGGAACACTGACTTGACACAGTGGGCCTTAACAGTGATGACAGAGTATAAGAGCTCCAGTAGAGGTCTAGAGGAGGGTGCCAATGGAGATGGGGGTATATAGATGATTAAGATTGTTTGAGATGTTCTGTATGAAATACACAAAAATTCAATAAAAACAAATTTTTTAAAGGGGGGGAGCAATAGAGGATGACATGTGACATAAACTTCCACACTTGCACACAGAGGCACACATACACATACACCATATACCACAAGATGCTCACAAAAAGAGGGAGTGGGAACTAGGGACATGGTTGAGTGGGTGAAGTGCTTGCTGACCAGGCATGAGGACCTGTTCAGATTCTAAGCACTCACATAAAAGCTAGGCATGTCAGTGCATGTCTAGTATTTTAATAATCCATAATTCTTTGCTCTCTGCATTACCTAGACCATACTCAAACTTCTAGAGGTCAAAACTAGACACACTATTAAGCACAGAAGAAAAGTTCCTCTATAACTTCTTCATGCCATATTCCTATTTTCCCACCCTACATATGAAAGACTTGATACAGTCAAAAGCATAATTTCTGCCAGAGGACTTCAATGTAACCTACTGCTTTCTGTTCTATTCCCCTAAGTATCCTTCTTTCCTCTTCTTAACCCTTTCATATTATTCTTTCATTCTCTTCCCCTGAGAGCTACAGAATAATTCACTTTTTGACTGGAGTAAAGAATCAATGTCATCCGGCAGAGAATCAGAGAACTCTGATCTTTCTGGTCACTTTCCTTATTCTTTCTTTTAATTTTACTTTCCTCTTTGAGCTGAACTTTCCTTTTTATGACTCACTTCAATTCACTCTCTCTGATCCCAAAGGACATTATCAGTGATTTCTGTGTTTTTATTCCCCCCTCATTTCTTTTCCATTGCTCCCTATTAATTTCCTGTTTGTTTTGTTTTTCTTTTTCTTACCAGATACCCATCTTTCTTGTTTGTTCTTGGTTTTTGAAGCTGTTATCTAGTTTTCATTAGACACCACTGGCAAGCACTTCAAACCATTAAGCATTCCTTTGGCCAAATAAGATCCACTTTTACTCTAGACTTGTCATTTGTAACCATATACCATGATTTTCTAAATTTAGTCTCCTTTGACAATTTTGTAAACAAGGCCTTGGTGGCCTCATGAAAGGGTGTTAAATATAAGCTTGAAGATTAATTTCATATATCAATTTTGCTAGATGATGGTGCTCAGATCTTTGGCCAAACAGTATTTGAGATGTTTCTGTAAAGTTATTTTAGTTGGCATTAACATTTAAATCAAAAGACTTTTGTGTTTGTATATGTGTGCGTGTATGTGTGTGAGCGTGTCTGTTTGTATGTCCACATGTGTGTGCAGATGCAGCTGCAGGTGCATGTGCATGTATGTGTGGAAGCCAGACATCAAGATCGGGTGTCATTCCTAGGGGCCAGTCACCATGTTTTCCGAGAAATGTCTGGCGGTTCCTGAGAGGTTAGACTGGCTGGCTGGCCAGCAAGCCCCAAGGATTCATCTGTCTCTGCCTCCCCAGTTCTGGGGTTAAAAGCCTGTGCCACCATGCCCAGCTTTTAGGTGGTCCTTGGGATTGAACTTAGGTCCTCACATTGTACAGGAAGTATTTTACCAACTGAGCTATCTCTCGAGCTATAATCAGCAGACTTTGAGTACAGAAGATTACCCTTCCTAATGTGGATGAGCTTCTAGTCATTTGAAACCTGGGCAGGGAAAAAATATCTTTTCCAAAAAGTGAATTCTGCTAGCAGACTGTCTTTGGACTCAAGCTTTGATACATCCTTAGGCCAAATGGCCTCTGGCCCACCTGGCAGATTCTGAACTTGCCATCCTCCAAAACTACATGAATCAATTCATCCAAATAAATCTCTCTGAGTGTATACATCCTATTCATTCTCTCTCTTTGGAGAATGTGACTAATATACAAGTACGCAATACTTCTGTTAAGAAACTACACTACTACTCCTGAATCATATCATGTATGATTACTGATTGGAAGAACATGGCTAATTAAGTATGATACAGCTAACAATAACATTCAACTAACAAAATGGTATAAAGCAATAATACATGTTATAATTAACTTCAGTTGACCAGAGCTGAGAAGAGTCTGAGTGCTCAGCCCTAAAGAGGACATCCTTATTACCATCTCCAACACCTACCACACCTCCAACAAAGTTCATGGAATGTTACAGAAGAGAAGGTAGAAAGGATGTAAGAGCCATGTAAGGATGGAAAGGAGTATGATGAAATGCTGTCTTCTGGACACAACATGACTATCACACTCATGACTCACAACAGCTGTGGTTACCTGCACAAGATCAAGCCAACCAAAATTCAAGCATGGATGGGGAAGAATTTCTTCCATGCCCCACCCCTAATGAGGAGCTACTGGCATTTGATAGCTGCTGGGGAGGCAGGAATTATTCCTTTTTGAGGCTGTTCCCACTGGTAGGTTCCCATGGAACTCACTATGTAGACCAGGCTGGCCTCAATCTCAAAGAGATCTCCCTGCCTCTACCTCTCAGATGCTGGGATTAAAGGTGTGCACTTAAAGAAAAATTTTAAAAAGGACATGAAGTTGAGGGGAGATGTCAGAAGAATATGGGAGGAGTTAGAGGAGGGAGATGGAGGGCAGAAATGATTATATTTTATTGCATATTTGTATGAAATTAAAGAATAAAGAAAAACAAAATTAAAAGTATGAAAAATAAACTTTAGATTATAAAAACCATCCTTTCTCTCTCTCTCTCTCTCTCTCTCTCTCTCTCTCTCTCTC